TCTCATAGAGAGCAAGCTGGGGTCTGCAAAATGACAAATTCCTAATGCAAGAAATTGTATATGGCCAATAAAGTGATCTTATCTTATGTGCTGGATGTGCTCCTGGCTAACGGTTCTCTTTGTCTGTTTATCCCCTGATGCTGCAAACACACAAACACACCAAGGTCAACGGGGAAGGACAGGAACTGTGTTCGATGGGCAGCCTGGTCAGCAAGGGCCTCGGGGGCACATGGGGCAGCCTGGCCTGAGGGGGTATCCGGGACTTCAGGGCACCCCAGGAATCTGCATGACGTCGGGGTGTGATCTGAACAACGGGACCGGCAGCGCAGAGGAGCAGGGAGCCCAGAGACCAGGCGCAAGGCGCCCTTAAAGGCAGCTGTTCAAGTGTCGAAACGAGCTGATATAGACTGTAGTTTGTGGCTAAACAACTGCAATATCAATAATTCACAAATCTTGACCTAGTACATTCTGTTTTTAAAAATGTATATAATTAGGCCCCTTGTCAACTAAAAAAAACCCAACAATGTTGTTTTATTTTTTGTATTTATTTCTTCGAAATTACTTCACAGCAGTGTTGCCACAAGGACAGGGCTGCAGACTATCTTTTGGTTACCTCTTGCCTTTGATATCTTAATGAATAAAATGTAACAATATGGACATGTAACATAATTTCTTATTTCAATGCAGTTTTCAAGAGTTTAAAATTGGTGACGTGGATTACAAAATGTCTTAAAATACAGTTCTTTATAATAAAAGTCCAAAAAACATACCCCACTGCTCTCTGGCACAAGCTGGTAGTCGATTTCTTTTTTTAATACAAAAACTGTTTAATTTTCTGTGGTGTATGCCTTCAGAAAGTACGTTATACTTTATGTGCATCACCACAGGGCAAAGGGATCCTCAGCACCAGATGTAACTTTTAACAGGTACAGTATCTGCAACCAATTCACTTCAGCACTTTCTTATTCACCTCCACCTGCTTCCTTGGCCAAGCCCACCGAGGGAGAGTGGAAACACCTGGCTCGTCTGCACTGGCTCGCTTTGGGTCAGGAAAAACAGCAACCGGCTGTCTGAACAGACAGTGCCAAAGGCCAAGGAAACAACTGTACAAACCCTATGTGGAATTAAAAGTTAACATGGGTTCTCATGACTGAATTCATCAGAAAAACAGGAATGGAAAATATTTTTCATGATCTATGGATAGGAGAACTAATGTAATAAATTAGACAGTTGTGTTCAGCTATAGAACACACACAGGAAACAAATCATTTTATTTGGGCATGGAGCTACACTACCAGTTTCCATGAGGCATTACCAAGGATAACTAAAGCATTTTACATGAGTTTCAATATTTAAACAATTCATTTGAAAATGCACAGAAGGTTCACATTGGTGCTGATTTTCTTAAAAATAAGAATATTTCCATTATTTTTTTGCAACTGAACCTTCATGATGATATACACACAAAAATGCTGGTGATGTTTTCTACATTTATAATTAGGATCCTTGCCAGACCAAATACTGCCTCTTAGATTGTCTTTCATTTTGGTGTTTAATTTCAGAATGCATACAGTACAGTATTTATTCAACCCAATGGTGAGTTCTAATGTTTGCGTTTTTATGTAGAAAATATACAGTATGTCTTTATATATAAACTGGAAAATATGGATTGTAAGTAGGTTCATGGTTGTGGACTGAGTACATACAGTCCTCTGATTTGAGAGCTCTTTTTTTGACACTCAGACCTGATATACTGCACAAAGTGCAAAGAAGCAATTCTATTTGGATTCTGCAATTGTTTTTTAAGAATTCTGTTTATAGTATGGGAAACTCACTAGAGCTTAGGAGAGACATACTGCCCTAATAATACACACTTTTCTGCTTTTTAAGGATAGTAGGCAAAGTTAATCTTATAAGCTTTGAATGAAGAGTTGAAAGCATGGCTGATTGAGTCCACATGAGGATTGGGTGGCTGGATACTCCAGCCCTTGATTAAACAGTTCAACACTTCCGTACTCCTTGATGGATTAGACAGCGTGGAGCGAGTCAGGTGAATACCCCCAATGAACAGTGATTAGTAAAGATCTGAGTAGAGAGCAATGAAACAGGACTTCCCTGAGAGGAGAACGACAGATTAAGGCCAGCAGCCATATCACCCGGCAACTCGCAGCCTGGCCAGTACCTGGATGGGAGACCTCCTGGCAAAAACTAAGGTTGCTGCTGGAAGAGGTGTTAGTGGGGCCAGTAAGGGGCACTCACCCTGCAGGGTGTGTGGGGTCCTAATGCCCCAGTCCTTTGGATAAGACATAAAACCAAGGTCCTGAACCAAGATCTGTGGTTATTAAAAATCCCAGGGTGTTTCTTAAAAAGAGTAGTTACCTTGGTGTCCTGGCCAAATTTCCCATTGGCCTTTACCAATCATGGCCTCCTAATAATCCCCATCTCTGAACTGGCTCTGATCTCCTCCCTACTGAGAGCTGGTGTGTGGGGAGAGTACTGGCGCACTATGGCTGCCATTGCATCATCCATGATGATCTATGGTGCAGGGGAGTCCCCAAAAAGTGTAAAGTGCTTTCAGTGGAGTGTCCATAAAAGCACCATATGAGTGTAAGGAATTATTATTAAGGACGAGGCTCCTGGAAGGGGGTCTGAGAAAAAGAATGACAGACCAATAAAAACATGGAAAATATAAGGGTGATGTTGGGGAAGGAACTCTCATTTTAAATGCAGGCCTGCAGGTATCAAGCAGAAAATCAGATTAGGCACATATTGCAGAGAACCATTTATTTTTCAGAGTGAGAGAACTATCAGATTACTTTACTGATGGCACAGTCGTAACAGGGAGAGAGAGACAGTACAGTGCCGTCAGCAGGAACAGGTGAAACCATATGCCAGTGGGCAACGGAAAAAACACATTTTAAAAATTACTTCTGAACAGGAAGAAAGACAAAGGTTTGTTCAATAAGATGTTTCCTTATGCACTCTCATACAGAAGTACAGCTTTTTAAAACAAAACGGGACCTTGGCTCCAGTGATTCTGAAAAATATTCTAATATAGCATTTTGTATTTTAACAAAACTGGTATAATAATATTCTGGTAAGTAGCTGGTAACATTTTCTTCAAGCACCAGTGCAGTGTTCTGACCAGCTGAGAGCGCACTTGTGGCAAAACTGATGCCACTGAGCAGGCTGTAGCTCCTGTATGAACTGTATGATGATGTTAATTTTGCACTGACTCTTCCAGGGGCTGAAGCATGTGAAGAAGTCCGTGTTGCCATGCAGAACCATTGGTTTTTCACATGGTTCAACTTAAGCAATAAGCTGGGACCCGAGGGATGCTGCAGACAACCACACAGCCCATGACGTGTCGTGAAAAAGACATTTTCCCATGCTGCTTAATGATCTGCAATCATTCGGTCAGGCTATACCCACGCATAGGTAATTATTAAAATCAAATCCAAATTCTAGAGTAATAAAGAATACCAGCTGCTTGCCCGGCTGACTTGCCTTGGTAAGTGTAGTCTCCCCTGAAACAAAAGAATAAAAATTTCCTTTTTGTTCTTTCAGAACTATTATTAGTCACAATGAACTAATGTGTTATTTTTTCTGATTGTGGTGCCATGCAATCATATGCCAAGACAAACTGTTACTAATGTAGCTGGTATAGAACACAATGCTTGGTACATAAACAGCTCATCGATCTTTTGGATAAAGGACGCTACAGAGTCACCTCTTTATGCAGTAATACAGTATGTACTGTATATCTTTAGTGTGGCTGATTCAGTTTCCCAGGTAACTCTACGAAGACTGCTAATTGGGAAACATGAAGAGCGGCATTAATTTAAACATTTGCAGGGGCCAAGTGTTTTACCTCATCATTCCCCCAAGCTGTGTTTTCAGGCGATAGCAATCACTCATCCCAGCATGCCGTTCGCTCACGTCTCAGTGCTGCAGGTTACTGACAGTCGCCAGTTGTGTGTATGAGAAGATGTGCAGAAAGGTGCTTAATGGAGACTGAGCGAAGAGTCAGTGAGAAGACCTACAGACTAGCGAGTACAGCCAAGTGAAGAGCTACTGAGAAGTAAGAGGACTGTGCTGATGTCCCCACAAGGGGAACACTGTGAAAGAGTTGGGATCCCGGAGGGAGCCTGAAAGAAGAAAAATCACTTACAATGTCAAAACGTACAGTAAGATGACATGATGGACTTAGGGTGGTGTGTATGCTGGAGGTTGTCACAGTTTTATAAAACTTCTGGACCTAGTGGGCACTATTTAAGAATATGTGCCTGTGATCATGTTGAAGCGATTCATTACAAATTGAAATCAACCGGGTCATTGACTTGTCCCATACCAGAGTCCAATCTTAAACTAAACTGACACCATAAAAACCTTCCTGTACCTAACCTAAATGCAATGCTAATAGACTGTAATTCAACAGCCAAGACACTATTGGTCAAATTCTGATCTGTCAGAAAACTGACTCTTGCAATGTTGAAGTGAATTCAACATGCAAGAATAAAACACCAGTATCAATATAATATATGAAAGTAAAGCTACTTAAGCTACTCTTCCTATTATAATTACTGTAGGTTAGGGACTGGCTACCAGATGAAATATTTTAAATTCAAGGTAAATGTGATTTTTTTTTAAACAAAAAGAAATGAATTTCAAATCATGATGCAGCTGTCTTAACAAAGATTCAGCTAGGTGTTTGGAGACCTTGAATGTAATTAACACTGTTGCTCCAGTCCTTACAGAACTACTGTGGTAGAACCTTCATTGATGGCCTGCATAACTTCAAGATTTCTGAAGCTTTATTTACAAAGATCACGAGCTGTTATAGTTGTCCTGATTATTTGGCATGAAAAGCAGTGATATTCATGCAGCTTGTTTATATAAAACAGATTGACACAAGTTGATACCAGAGTTGTTAAATCAAGAGTATAACAGTGCTGTTCAGTGGTTCCCTTTCTCCCCAAACACATCCTCCATCGGTTATTCCATGGAAAGTCTTGTTATGGATTCAAGCCCTGTCAACCAGCTTCAACAATTTATCACACTGATCTCTTCTGCAAACCTCTAACGAATGAAATTAACTTTAGTTTCCTAAAATAACTAATAAACCAGGACTATTTTAAATGAAGTCAATTCCAAAATAAACATAAAGATCCGGCATGTTAGCTCATGACTGAACATTGTGAACTGTTAACGTATGTGATAATGTGAAGATTGGGAATTCGGTCAACGGAGACGTAGTCTCTGTTGTGAAAGTACGATGTAGTTTGTAAAGTCTGCAGTAGAATCAGCCTGTTTTCATTAAAAACAGCAGGGATTCAATATTTACAAATAGCTTACCAAAAGACTGTTTATGTAATGAAGTAGAATAGAACACCTTCAGGCAGTAATGACGTATGTACACAATTACATTTGGAAATAAAACAATTATTTTGCTTTAAAAACACATTTCCAAAGCTCTGACTGAAATCAGCACTACTGCAGAGACTGAAGATGGAGAAACTGTGTAACACTAATTGTTAATTCAGGGCATTGTAAAATGGAAATTCTTAACTCACGTTCAGGAAAGATAATGACAACCAAGGCACTTTTGCCCAGCTGTTTTAAATCATAATTACTCGCGATGTCATTTCTCAGAGCTA